CGTTAAATTAAGTGGCAAAATTGAGCAAATTAAAGCTACATGAACCAAATTGACACATCATGTAAACTACATGGACTATTTGCATAATTTACCCTAAATTTTTTAATAATATTTGATGGTAAAATATAAGAAAACTGATGGGAATGCTCTAACAAATTATAAATACAAATGGAGTTAAGTGTTATGAAAATTAAAATTTTAAAGGAACTTAATGTAGTTATGTAAATAAAATGGGGCTGCTTGTATTTTCTTCAAATCTTAGAGAAGTTAGTGTAATTTACCCACAAGTAAAATACCATTTTATCCTTAGATCAAATTATCAAAAGAGTAAAAAACTAGCCCTAGCTCGAGGGGTGGGCGCGGGTCAGTTGCGGCCACGCAACTTCCAATCCGCCATCCGTCCGTCAAACTGGCGGATTGGAGAAAATCAATCCGCATCCGTCCACCAATCCGGCGGATGTGGATTGAGCGGTTTGGCGGTTTGGCGGATGGATGCGAATCGGTTTGGCAGTTTAAGATTTTATAAATTTTTAACATAATTCAACTTGTGCACTTCCTCAAAAAAAAAAAAAGAAAAAAAAAATGAGAAAGTACTACAATCAATGACTTAAAAAACTATTACAATTACTGTATGTCTCATCCAAAAAAAGAAAGTTTAAAATTTTAGAATATCACAATCACTGCATGGCTCATCCACATATTACAATCACAGTATGATTCATGCACATAAATTATTACAATCTTTGGTTCTTAAAATATAATAACAATTCAAGCCACCAAAACCATGAACAGGGTAGTAATAGAGATTGTATGTCTATGTATTGTTACATCTATGTATGTTTTTGAAAACAAAAACCAACCAGCATATATCATATTTTCTATTTATTATTTTTAGAGTAAAATTTAAAAACAAAAAAATATAGATAAATAATACGTTTATTTTTTTCAATTCAAAAAATATATTCAAGTTGAAAACTTTTTTTCAACAGAATATTTAAACTCTTTTTCAATTGAAAACACAAAGTCTTTTAAACAAATTGAAAACATAAAGTCTTATAAATTATTAGGGGTGCTCGCGGTTTGGCGGTTCGGTTGCGGCCAAAGGAATCTCAAATCCACCATCCGTCTGCCAAATTGGCGGATTGGAGAAAATCAATCTGCAACCGTCCGCTCGTCATTATGCATCTATCCAAAATGCGGCGGATCGGTTCGGTTCGGTTCGGTCGGTTTTGACGGATCGATGTATCCGCTGCTCACCCCTCCGACCAATCCTTCGCCTCGTCATCCTCCTCATCTTGGTTCTTCTCATCCTTTTTCGCTACCACTATCCCCTTCCTGCCATGAAACCCCAACCTAGCCCTTTTCCCAACGCAAACTCACCCTTGCAAACCCCTTCATTATTCTCTCTATTTCTTATTTTTTTTCTCCTCATCCCTAAGCCGGAGTTTAGGAACACGTAAGAATAGTAATGAGAAGGAAAACATATGAAAGATATAGATTTGGGGTTATTTAGGGAGGATGATGAGATGAAAAAATGAGAAAAAGAAGAGAAGATAAAAGAGTGCAAATGACAATGTATAAAGGATTGTCTGAGGAGAGATTTTACAATACGATAAGGGGATTAAGAAGGGGGTTGTTGATCAGAAAAATGTGTTGTAGTAAGAGAAATGGGCCAATAAGGGATGTTTGGGCTGGTGATAAGAGGTAGGGGAAGTAGTGGTAGGAGTAGATGATGGTGAAGTTGGGATTAATTGGAGTGTCCAGCAAAGTCCAACAAAATTCAACAAATTTAAAATTTGGTTTGAGGTGCCCTAAGAAATAGGTGCCCAATAATTTATGTAGGGTGCATCTAGAGACCAATTTGCACACAATACTTTTTCTTAATTTACACCAGTTTATTTTATTTGTTCGTGAATTAGATCAAACAAAAATTAATTTTTGGATATCAAATTCTAAACTGAATTTTTGTTCAATAATTGATATTTGAACTATTAATTTTCATTCAACAATTAATATCCAAATAAAAAAATATGTATGAACTATACTAAGGGGTTGTTTGGGATATTTTAAAATTGTACTTTTTGATTTTTTATAAAAAAATGTGTAGAAAAGTATAGAGGAGATGTTGATTGATATGACCCAAAAAAGATAAAAAAATTAAAAGTGTGGATTTATTTAGTCTTCCCAAACTTGGCCTAAAATTTAGTGTTATGCGAATAGAGAGGCTCACCACAGTTGCTTTCCTATTTTAAAGGCCAAGTGTTTAAATGTTTTGGATTTTCAGAAACTTCTTCTACTCAATTTTTTTCACTTTTATTTCTTTTTAAATTATAAATAAATACATATTTGTTGTAATCAAACCCAACCTTTGGTAAAATAAACAAGAATAATAAAAATAAAAAAACTATGAAGAGGGGAAAAAAATATTAAGCCCAAGGTGAGGTAAGGTTTTTCACCTAACTATAGAATATAAGACTAATTAATTTTAAGTTAGCTGTTATGGTATGTTGGTGATGAAACCATGGTTATGTTTGGTGAAGAAAGGAGAATGGTTCAAAAAATAACAAATAAGTAAATAAATTTTATTCCGCATGTACGTTGAGCATGTTTTGTTGTACCAAACTTTGAATTTTTAAATTTTTCCATCAAATCCTCTTACATGTTACAAAGAATTATTATGGGAAAGATGGCAACATTTCTTTAAAACTTCCTCCTTTGATTTCCTATTTTACCTCACAAAGAGAGTTAGGGTTGGTTTGGAATGATCTAAATAAGTACACTTTTTGATTTTTTATGAAATATAGATTGAGTATGAGTTGGGTTTGAAGTGATGTATTAGAGGGGTGATGTGACTTAAATAAGATGGTATGACTTAAATAACATAGTGACTTTTTAGTTTTTTTAGATCATGCCAAACAAAGCCTTAGTATATAGTCAAATTTTAAACTTAGATTGAAAACACAACAATGGATTTCAAACATGTTCAAATGTTACTTGTTTACCTTTCTCAAACATGTTCAAATTTTACTTGTTTACCTTTCGAGTAGATTTCAAATGAATCATCTTGTAATTTATATTAGGTTTTTTATTTTGTTGTTCTTGTAATTTGTTTTTCTTTTAATATAATACATATTTTTTAGTTCTCAAAAAAAAAAAAAAAAAAAAAAAAAAAAAAATAAAAATGATGTATTTTTAATTTTTTTTTCACGAATTTAATTTTTAGTTTCTTGAAAAAAAAAATTTCCGAAAATAAAATTTGAAAAATAAACCAAACAGAACTTTATAACTAAGAAAGTTTCAGCATTATTCATTAAAAAAGCGGGAATGGCTTCCCTCGTGTCCGTGATCGGATTGGAAGGTACTGTTGTGCTCATGGGGCCCCACCATGAGTCCTGTTTTGATAATCTGAACCGTCAATGTGTAGAACTCGTATCTTACTATATTGTTATAAAAAATTTCGTTGATCGGCCACACCCCCACCTACTAGACTGGCAGGTGGAGCAATATGTCTACAACTTACAGGGTGGGACTCTTAGCAATTTGGTAATAATATGACATGAAACAGACTTTTGAAGAATGAAATGATTCGAAACAGACTTTACATCGCGCGTTTAGGTGGGTAAGTCATTTCAATTTGAAACACCTAAGCATACCATGACAGAGATTGATGGATGTTTTGTTTTCTACTGAATTTTGCTTAATTTCTTACTGCCCAAGTTTCAATCCAGTTTGAAACGTATCGTTAGATTTTGCGAGTCTATCATGCGGGTCATATTAATAATCTGAATCGTTTAATATTTAAAACTTATTAAGGCCAAGTTTGGGAAGACTAAATAAGTGTACTTTTTGTCTTTTTGAACTAAAAAATTGAGATTGAAAATATGGATGTTTGGGTTAACTTTTTGACTTTTTATGAAAAAATGTGTAATAAAAAATTGTAAAAATTGGTTTGTAGAGGAAAATTTGAATTGGGAGTTGTGCAGCCGTAATTGTTGACTTTTGGTGAATAGTGTTAACTTTTTAACTTTTTGAGTAACTTTTTGACTTTTTAGCTTATTTGGGACTTCCCAAACTTAGCCTAATTAATTTTAAGTTAGCTGTTATGGTATGTTGGTGATGAAACCATGGTTATGTTTGGTGATGAAAGGAGAATGGTTCAAAAATTAACAAATAAGTAAATAAATATTATTCCTCATGTACGTTGAGCATGTTTTGTTGTACCAAACTTTGAATTTTTAAAATTTTCCATCAAATCCTCTTACATGTTACAAAGAATTATTATGGGAAAGATGGCAACATTTCTTTAAAACTTCCTCCTTTGATTTCCTATTTTACCTCACCAAGAGAGTTAGGGTTGGCTTTGGATGATCTAAATAAGTGTACTTTTTGACTTTTTATGAAATATAGGTTGGGTATGAGTTGGGTTTGAAGTGATGTATTAGAGGGGTGATGTGACTTAAATAAGATGATATGACTTAAATAAGATAGTGACTTTTTGACTTTTTAATTCTTTTAGATCATGCCAAACAAAGCCTTAATATATAGTCAAATTTTAAACTTAGATTGAAAACACAACAATGGGTTTCAAACATGTTCAAATGTTACTTGTTTACCTTTCGAGTAGATTTCAAATGAGTCATCTTGTAATTTATTTTTATTTTGTTGTTCTTGTAATTTGTTTTTCTTTTAATATAATACATATTTTTTAGTTCTCAAAAAAAAAAAAAAAAAAAAAAAGTCAAAAAAAAAAAAAAGAAGTCATAATGAACTCGAAGTAACTTTAATCAAAATACAAGCTTATAAACCAAACCAAAACAAAGAGGAATTATTTTGGACTTATATAAATTTTTTCTCTTTTTCTTCCCTTGTTTTCTATTCCACCTAAACACATGTTTGAGACTTTCTTGAATTATAAATTTCCTTTCCAATTTATCATGACAATTCAGCAAAATAGGAGTTCAAAAATTAAATATAGTTGTTTTGCAACTTTTAATATCTTGAATGTCAAAATATAAAAAATATTTATCATATGTTGGCTCTAATAGCCAATTTCTAAATCATACACCAATTGCAACCTTTTTAGTACATCTTTGATTTGTTGCAATGCTTTAGTAATGGAAAATGACAGGTGGATAGAGTATAAGCTCAATTTTTTCTTTTTTCACTCCACAAGTATCTCCACCAACTCAAAATCCAAAAAGGCATCCACAAGATGCAGTGGCTGTACAAATGGACAACTCGAGCAATTCAAAGACAGTAGAAAACAAAAGGAAGATGTTGAAGCAGTGACATACCACTGCTAACTGGCAGAGGGTGAACTCTCTAAATGATGGGAAACCAGCATCATCCCTCTCATCTCTTAGACAAATTCACTCGGCGCTTACTAAGCTCAGAAGCTACAGTATTGTAAGCAAGGTCTATTTCCTCTTCTGTCATCTCAATTGTTTCATCACTGTCATAAGCTTTTGAATCACCCTTCGTAGTCTCATCGGTTTTTAGCCTTTTCTTCTTCATCAACAAATCATCATCTAAGCTGCTAATTTCATTCTCATAAATTTGCTTACAGGCCATAGCTTCTCTGCAAAGCTCCTCCTTTGAAAGAAAGGCTGAACTGTCTGCAGTGGTTTCAAGCTTTGCTAGCTCCTCAACCACCCGAGGAATGAAATTCCATTGCTCAGTTATTTGCTTGATACCCTAAATAGAAAATCATCACACAAATGGAAAATGAGTTAAAAATGCAACTTCAGTATTCAGTCAACAGGTTCAAAACTACAATGAACAAAAACAAATAAAATTTCTCAAATAATTGATGCAAGGAAAAAATTTCCTGCAAGTCAATGACAATTATCAGCTTGAATGCTGTTGAAAACAGCTTCACTTCAAGGAGTTCCGGAGCAAAAACTTGAAGTGATGGTCCAGATCCCCCTTTAATGAGCAATATCGGTATGACGAAGAATACACAACCAATTAGTTTGTTGCTCACCAAATTTCACCACTTTTGGTGAGAAATGAAACTGATAAAATAATAGAGTTCTATTTGTCACAATTTCTTTTGATTTGTCACAATTTATAACTTATAAACCAAACATGAAAAAGAGTCATCTTTCTCTTCATTTCTTATCTTTTTCACCAAATAACTCAATCCAAACAGACTGCTAGAAAACCAGTCATCTCAGTGTACCAAATGAGGGAGGCAGGTCATTTGTCCGTATATGGACAAAAGGTCTACCAGGTTAACTAGATGACAACATGACGCATATAATAAAGACATAATCCAGCATTCAATTGGACGAAAGTGTCCACGTGCTAAAAAAGGAATGCTGGGCATCTGAATATTCATTCAGCAATCATAATGCCCCTTAACATCTGATTCCTAACTGTTATTTGATGTAAACGAAAATAAAAGAAATTCTTGCCCATGATGAGAAAAAATCATTTTTGAAAGAAGATAGTAACCACTCAATGTCCAAACTAAATTTGGTTTGGTTATCATCTTCATAGCATGATTGTTGGACATGACAGTCTATAAGACCAATAATACTCCTTTCAAGTGCCAGAGTTTTGACAAGTAGCGACAATCACTCAATTATATGCGCAATAGTCTATAAGACGAGGACTATACCTGCTTCTGCTTTAGTGAATCTATGGCATCTTGTAAACAAGTGAGGATTCCTTCAGCAGCTATATTTCTTACTTCGCTGGGCTCTGGCTGTAAGAAAGGCACAAAAGGATCTGAATTAAGCCACAGAGCATAAAGGAGATATTACTTCTCTTGTTAAATTACGCAGGCAATACAAACTTCTAATTCACCCTCAAAATGAGATCTGAAAGACCTGAAAATCAGACTACAGTTTAAAATTGAAAGGTATATCAAAAGATCTAACATATGAAACAATAATAATAATAATAATAATAATAATAATAATAATAATAATAATTTGATTTAACTAAACAATTTAAAGAGTGGAGATGAATGTCATATACAAGAAGTTAGTGTAAATCAATCTTTATAAGACCTGGAAAGAAGCCAAAAGTCACACAGCTACAAAGTAAATCAGTTGAAAATCTAAGGACAAAAAAATGACAAAGTTCTATATCCATATAAAGGAAAATCACATTAACAATATACTATAATATGAATGACAGGAACAAAAAAAAAAACTCCAAATAGTAACAAGACCAAAACAGATATACCTTTTCCTCTTGGCTCTCCAGCCATGAGATGGTTTTATTCAAGTCGTCAATAGCCCACTTCTTCACTTTAGAAGGAGAGAAACTCTCTTTAACCGGATTTGAAGCTCTACTCTACTTTACATGCAACACAAGACAAATATCAAGTTGATTAACATGAGAAAACGTACAAATACAATTTGTGTCAAAGAATTTATATGCAGCCTTGTATCTAAACCGGTGGAAGTTTCTGAAAGGTAATGAAATTTGAACAAATTGAAAATATATTTTCAGCTTCCAACTATGGTAAATATTCGTGCTAAGTTGCTCCATGTAATCCTAATGAAAACATTGTTGCACATAATTAATGGAAGACTTTGAATTCATGCGAACAATTTTAGATATTAGATATCAAGAAATGACCTTAGTAGAAACAGAAATAGTTGACTTTGCATTTGATCCTTTATTTATTTGCATCTGAGATCTCCTAGACACGGAAGATTCCTGGTCTGCACATAGCCACTCAGTTAAGAAAATAGAATGTAAGTACCCACTACTTGAAAATAAAATTAAAGAAAAAAACTAGTTAATCGCACAACAAAAAAATAATATCTGGATATTTCCTCTGGCATTAGTTCGCAGCAACCTTGTATACTGGTTTGAGGAGAAAAAAGATTGGGGGAAGGGGGGGGGGGGTGAATGAATGTACTAATCTTTCTTTGAATTTTAATAGAAGCCTGGCATAAATAATGCATCATAAACACCAGCTACTTTCAACCAAAACTCAGTTGGCAAGATAAAATTACATGCCATAAATAAAGAGAATAATAGAGCACAACCCCCAGAAACTTAGTTTAAAAATTTTAAATCTCGGAAAGATCAGAGAATAGATGTCCCCAGAGCTTTAAGACATTATTCTCAGTCTTTCCAAGTACAGAATGAATGCTGCATTGCTCAAGATCAATCTACCTTAAGTCCACATACAGCATATTCAGCATATGGTCAGTCCAATCCACTCAGTGGACTAAGTTGGCTCTAAATTTCCTTAAGCATGCTACATTTATATCTTATGCAAAACCAGTTTACAAGAAGTCCTTATATTAAGCAAAGTTTGGTTATCTTTGGGTGAAGATCAGGGATGTCTGATTCTTACCATAGAGCTCTGTTATAAGCACAGGTTGTAAAAAAGCTAATTAAATCTATTCAATAGCTAAACCAAACCAAACTAAGCCTTGTGTCTCAGTCATATGGGGTCAACAAAATGAGTCATTTTCCATTCCGCTCTATCAACGGCCATATGCTCAGTTGAATTACATAAATTCATATATATTTTTACTACTGCTTTGCATGCTAGTTTAGGTCTTCCCCTAATCTATTAGATAGCTAAGGAGAAGGAAAAAAAATCACTTTTCCCCCCACAGATATGCTGCATATGCATGTGCAGATCAAGCTCCAAATCAACCAACTAGGCCTAGCCTAGTTGGCCACCATGACTCTCCTAAGGGCTTAGTCCCAAGGGGCAGGTCATGGGTTCAACTCTCCCTAAGGAGAGTTGAATTCGGAGGCAAGCTTTTGGTGCTTTGCAAGGGTAGGGAGGCTAACTCCCATAGGTGCTAATCTAACCATTAACAACTAACAACTGACTTTTGCCGATCCAAAAAAAAAGAAAAAGAAAAAAGAAGAAGTCAAGCTCCAAATCTTCATAAATAGCCCTATCTACATCATCCATAAAAGCAAAGCTAATATTACTATTGCTTTATGTTATAAAACACAGGAAAGTGAAAGCAAAACTCAAGTGCAACATATTAAATGCATTCAGTGCAACTCAAAATTACTTTCACAGAGAGAGAGAGAGAGAGAGAGAGAGAGAGACCTTGGTTTGCTTCATTGGAAATATTTTGCCTTCGCCATGGTTTCCCAACATGCATTAGGTAGCTTTCAATATCAACAAGCTTTTTCTGACTGAAACACTCTGATATCCACTCCTAGTCCATAAAAACTTATGGTCATCAGCTGATTACATGCATGGAGTAACATTCACAAGAAACAACACAATATAACAAAATTCAAGCATTATAAGTCCACTAAAAGATGCTTTCACTAGAACATCATGACCCTACACATCAAATGGTACTGAGACTAATCATGTCTAGTTGTAAAGGTGACATGTTGCATCTAAAAAGTGGACGTCCACATGTATGCACACATGTTTATGGAGACACAAAAGCATATAACGTTTATGTTTGTGGATGTGGATAGATCTTGTTAGCAAGTGAAAAATAAGTTGAAAAAAGCAGAGAAAAATGTAAAATGAAATAGAATAAATTTCCCCAGGAACTAATAAAAAATACAAGGATACCCATGCAAAGTAGATAAAAGAAATAACGTGTCTAGAAAGCATCATTGTGTTGATTGCTTGATGAGATTTGCTTGCATTTGATCAGTTAATTAAATAGAAAGTTTCCAGCAGTATTAAAAAAAAAAGAAAGAAAAAAAAAAGCACTATTGAATAACTCATTCATCAAGAAAAAAATGTAACCTTAGAAACTATAGTTCCACAGTCAGCCGAAACATGCCGAAACTTTGGGGTGTTTGGAAATGCACAAATCAGGAGGGTGCAATTGGAGTTCCAGTCGGGTTGATATTCTGCTCCCATTTCCAGGGCCTGAGATCTTAATACACTGCGCTCTGGATTAACAAATCCTGATAATACAAATACAACCCCTTCCTGCAGAAATCAATATCATAATCTCAGGTTCTATTGACAATAACAAAATTAATACACCAAACTAAGATCACTTCTAATACCATAAGTTTGGAAAAGTTTGTGGCAACCAATCTTGATGGAGAGGATTTTTGGTTGCTTTCAATTTTCTTGGAAGGAGTACTGTCACTACATGGTTTGCTGCACTCTTTGGCTTGTTTAGCTGTTTTTCCTTCATTATTTTCCTCATGTAAACCAACATCAGCCGGCTTCTTGCCCTCAGATTTATTCTCATTCTCTGCTGAACTCATCCACGAAGGTAGATTTCGTCTCACATTCTTATGAGCACCAATGCTAGGGTTTACCTTTGAATTAGACATATCAATGGATGCTTCTTAGTAACTGCAAGTGTTCCAATTACAAAGCACACCGATTACAGATGAGTTGGATTATCAGAAATTCTCACTTCGAGTTATACACGAAGATGAAACATAGAACTTCTCGATACTCTCCCCAATAATACTATCAAAATAAAGCTGCATGGGTAAATGTTAAGATCTGCACAAATGATTCCATCAAGAATTAGTAGATGAAGTATCATCATTACAGTAAAACTACAAGTTCAACACGAGAAAACATGAGCCTAGATCATCCTCCAGTTGGTTGTAGTGCTTTTCCCTGGCATATTGAATGGAACAAAAAACTGTTCCACCAGTCCAACTTATTATAGACTCTTGGTTGATAGTAAGAGGATTTCATCAATTTTTGATTAAGGCACATCTGAAGATTGTACTGTGGTAATTATGTTATAAATAGAAGATTACGCCAAGATCAAAACCCTTCCAAAGTAATACAAAAAGAGGCCTATAATAAACGAAACATCCACAAAATGGACAAGAAAACCTCACTGGAAAAAAGATGGTCAACTTCATCCTATCCTTGGGACCACCGGAAGAAGAAAAGGGCTTATTATGACTGCCAAAACCCTTGTGCTGCTCTCACATTGTGTTGGTGTATGAACAGCTTGTAAGTATTTACTTAGAAGTGATGCAACTGCTTCTGTAAATTTATCAATTTACTTTGCAAACCCTCCATCTGATGTTTCAAGAATAAATGAATATGAAATAAAAGACCCGTTGAATATCATCTTAATTTGTTTTGGCTAGAAGATCAGAAATCACTGCGACTTGGCCAATCACTATATTAGGTATATGAGTGGAGATTTCAATTCTCTCCAGTCCTGAAAAAAGCAAAATTTTACAAATTTTTTTTTTTATTTTTAAAAAATATTTTTGTACCCATGAGGGATTAGCTCAGTTTCCTAGGTTCTATCTAAGGCGGTCTTAGGTTTGAGTCTCAATGTCCTACTTCACTCGATATTTGAGGCTGGCAGGTGTCGCATGTATCCTGAGTTTGAGCTCCTGAGGTGGGTCCAAAGGGCCCTGCCTAGGATCGATTTTCTGTTATCAACAAAAAATACAAAAAATTTACATCTACTCGATGACAAAAAGTATCATCTTTATCCATGATAATTTTTTATAAGTAGCATCTTTAATCAATGATAATACTTACACAGCCGATGCATGGCTATAATTTTCTAGAAACAAGTGTATTTTATCATGCAAATTGCCAAAACCAGTTAGAAATTCCCAATACTAGCAATTTCATCCATTCCCTTGTGAATTGGCAAAATGTAACATGCCACATATATAATGCTTGACAAGATTGAGTGAATCTAGTTTCAGACCCATGCCCTACTCTGATTACATTTCCTAAAATTTTTAGTGTTAATCGCAGAGAAAATATTAGGGTTCCAGTGGGCAACAAGAAAACATCAACATTATCAGAAAACATGCGTAACCCAAAAATCCAATCATAATACATACTTGATTGCACGTACTATTGCAATCGATGATGGTAAAGTTTCGATTTTCCTAACATCTAAAAACCTATTGAATTAATAATCAGAAAGTTGAACACTGTACGCGTATATAATATATACATGGGGATAGAGAATTCAAACACCTGACATCGTCTCCGGCGAGCACAGAGATCTTTATGTTGTGGGTTCTGATCTATATACGCATTCTGTGCAGAGCAATAGGGCTTTGCTTGACTCTCTTGTATGCTCCACACAGCGGTTCAATTTGGCCCGGACCCGTTTAAAAATTAAAAATTACTATGTATTATGTGACATTATTGTAAATTAAATTATGAAAGATTTTCTGTGAGTTTAAGGGTGTGCTTGGTTTATGTTTTGAGATAAATTTTTAAAAAAAATTTTGAGAAGAAAGTTTAGAATTTTTTTTTAGTTTATTTGGTTGTATATTTTGAAATTTGAGATTATTTAATATTTTGTTATAATTGAGTAGATGTGTGTGAGAGAAAAAGTGATTGAGAATGAGAGAGGAGAGAGAAAAAAATAATTGATTGATGTATAACAGAGAAAAATAATTTTGGATTTTTTTTTGAGAAAATTTATAACCAAACATGGTTTTAGAAATTTTCTTCAAAAAACATGTTTTAAACACAAACCAAACACATCCTAAATAATTTTCAAAAAGACTTATTCTGTTTGGTTAGTTTCTTAAAATAGTTTTAAGTTTTGAGTGGTATTTTAAAGGATAAGTTGTTGAAAATTAAAATTTTATTTAGTTATAAGTTTTGAAAATAATTTTAGAATGATTTGTAATTTGTAATTTTTATTTTTGTAATTGAATAAATAAGTGTGAGAGAAAATTTAATTGATTGATGTATAAAATGTGAGAGAATGAAAAAAATTAAAAAAAAAAAGAGAAAAATGATTGATTGATTAATTTATTAATAATAAAAAAAGAGAGAATATTTACCAATAAATCTCATCTCATAAACAACAATACCAATCAATCCCACTTTTGAAATGTTTATCGGATAAGTCCTACTGGTGGAGAGATTTAGATTTATGTGATCTTATTTTCCAAGTTTGGTAGTGAGCCATGGACAGTTATGCCCTTTCTTATTTGATTGGGTTATTTTGGTGAGATCACCTTCATTTTTGGTAAGTTGAATGTTACAGTGATACACATTCCCACCATCGACTATTAGGGTTTTGGGTTTTTGGGGAGGAGTGTTGGTGCGTGGTCTGTGTGACGTCCCAAAAAGGGTACAATTTTCGGTTGTCCAATTCACCGTTGTTATGCAGGTATGTATTCTTTTTTTTGTAATAACGCAGAGTTGTTTTGTTTTGTTGGTAGTATCAATTTCTGTGATGGGCTTGTTTGTGTCCATGTTAGGGTGGGATATGTGATGTGTTTGGGGTATAATGTTTTTTTGTTTTCAAAGTGGTTGTGTGGGTATGTAATGTGTTACGGTTTGCCGACAGTACGGTGTAGACACCCCATTTTTTATCGACCTTAAGACTCAGACGTCGCCAGTTGAGCACTTGGTGATATTGCATGTTGTGCTCGTTAAGAAGTTTCAGAGTCGTGGTCGTGAGCCCTGCCTCCGGACTTCCGAACCCTCTTCTGTGCCTTGCCTCGGTTTGCGAACTAGACTCGGTTTTCTCGGTTTCTTTTCCTGAGGGAAGGGAGAGGTCCCGTAGACCATCTCTCAATGTCCGTAGGCTACATTTCGTGGCCGTAGGCCATTTTGCCCATTTCGGAGTCCGGTTTCTGGTTTTTCGGGACCGTTGGCCGTGTGCCTCGGTTCGGGACCGCTTAACCATCTCCGTTTGTTCTAAATTTTGGCATACACTTCTGTGACATGCCTGCCGCACATCGTTATGATTCATGCATAGAAATGTGCTCTGATTTTTGACATATGTCTTATTTTCTCCCTTTTGAGGGACACTGGGGTCTGAGAAACCCACTTCGTGGCCGAACGCGCACTTTCGGTGCTTAGCAGCCCATTTTCGGGACCCCGAACTGCGTGTTTCGGCCCCCGAGGGTTCGTTTTGCATCGGTTCTTGTTCATTTTGGCAGGTGCCTCTGTTTTATCACCAGGGAGGTCACTGGAGGGTGGGAGGCCAGCAATTATCTTGGCAACCAGTTATATTCCATTTTCGCCCTCCGACACCCGTTTTTCGCACTTTCGGGCCAATGTTGAACAACCTGGGCCATTTTTCTTGAACTTTGAACCACATATTTTGTGATGTACACACATGGGAGGATCCTAATATCATATGGCGGCCACTATTTCCTTTTGACCCTTTTGAACCCCTCCTAAAATTGGCTTATTCGACAACAGGGTTGTGAAGAGGGGACCTGGGAGGCCACCAATATGTGGTGGCGCGCCACTAATCATTCTTGGCCTTTTTGACCCTTGGCCGGCCGGCTAGGGGAGGTGGCTGGCCGCGGCCACCCTGCAGCAAAATTTACCTGGCCGGCCATGTTCCTCTCTCCTCACACTTTACAGCTGTCACGCTGTTTCCCCATAAAATATTATATCCGGGGGATATTTTTGTGGGAAACAAGGGCTTGATTTTGGTCTCCACTTTGCCTAGGGTCTTCTCTCCTCTCTTGCATTTTTTGCTGGCCTCCCAACTCTAGAAAGAGGGTTACAAGAGTTGCTTGGAGCATATACATAAATAGCACCACATTCCTTCAAGTTTTGGGCTCCATTTCTTCATCATCTTCAAGCTCTACCACCACCCTCCCATTTCAGCAGCAAGGGGAAGAATTCCAGCAGCTTAGAGTCACCAAATCTGGTCCAAGAAGCAACAAAAGTGTTGGTCTCAAAGGTAAGTCCAATTTCCCTCTTTTCTAACCCATTTTTGCACCATCTCTAAGCCATACATGCTTATTGATTTGAGCTCCGACCAAAACTGAAAATGTCATTTTTTTGAGCTCATTTTCTTGTTTCATTAAGGGCTCAACCCTGTTTGAGGCCCCCATATTCACTTGCTTCAATATCCCTTAAATGTCAATTTTCTTGCATGCTTTGGAAACCCATTATGCTTTCATTTTGGGCGTTTTACAGTTCTGTGAATAGGCTTATTTTGAGCCCCTATTCAACATTGAAGAAGGGCTCATCACTGTTTGGGACCACTATGTCACTTCATGTTATACTCTCTTTTGGTCCCCTATTTTTGCATGCTTTGGCAGCCTATCATGCTTCTGTTTTTGGTCTTTTTACAGGCCTAGAGATGGGCCTTATTTTGACCTTCTTAACATGTTTCATTAAGGGTCTTTGGCCATTTGTGAATATTTTGCATACTTCATGTTATAGCCTCTTTTGAACCTCATTTTGCATTGCATTTCTATCATGTTTGTATACTGTTTTTGGGTTTTTACAGTTCAGTAAATATGCTTATTTTTGGTCCTCTTCAATGTTGTAGAAGGGAAATTTTTCATTTTGGGCTTTGAATATACCACTTGCCTCTTTGGCCACCTTTTGGCCTTTTTCTTACATGGGAGTGCAGCTATACTTGTGTTTGTTTTTAGGGTTTTTACAGTTCTGGAAAACATCATATTTTGGGCCCCTCTTCAACTTTGTTGAAGGGCCCTAACCTGTTTGAGGACAGCAGATGTGAGTTGCTTCTTAATCTCATGTTTAGGGCCATTTCTTGCATGCTAGTTTTGCCCTGTCTTGGTTTGCTGTTTGGCCATGCTATAAAATGGAAAAGTGCTATTTAGGGGCTGCCTTTCTTCTGTCTATTCAATGCATGTGCCAATTGTGCATGTTTGGTATAGCTATAGGCCATTTCGGGTGCCAAAATTCATGTTTCGGGACCATTCCGTGCATCGAGTGTATTTTCGCCTCGTTTAGGGGCTGTTTTCTCCCATTTTTCATTGCTATAAGTCCATTTTGCATTCTATATGTCATTTCCATGCCATTGCATTGCATATGTCATTGCCTCGGTTTGCGTGCCCGTGTGCACGCATTTCGAGGCACTTCATTTTCATCCATCGGCCTCTTATGTGAGTGTGCTGAGCCTCTCATGTTAGTATAAGTCCATGTTTGCATTCTATATGCCATTTCCATGCCATTGCATTGCGTATGCCATGCCTCGGTTTGCGTGCCAGTGTGCACGCATTTCGAGGCTCTTCATTCTCATCCATCGGCCTCTTATGTGAGTGCGGCTGAGGCTCTCTCATGTTAGTATAAGTCCATGTTGCATTCTCTATGTCATTTTTGCCATATTGCATTGCGTATGCCATTCCTCGGTTTGCGTGCCCGTGTGTACGCATTTCGAGGCTCTCATTTTCATCCATCGGCCTCTTATGTGAAGTGCGGCTGAGGCTCTCTCATGTTAGTATAAGTCCATGTTGCATTCTCTATGTCATTTTTGCCATATTGCATTGCGTATGCCATTGCCTCGGTTTGCGTGCCCGTGTGCACGCATTTCGAACTCTTCATTTTCATCCATCGGCCTCTTATGTGAGTGTGGCTGTCTCTCATGTTAGTGTAAGCCCATATCGCATTTCATATCATTTGCATTATGTATGTCATTTTCTCGCGTTTGCGTGCCCGTGTGCACGCATTTCGAGGCATCATTTCTCACAGCATAGTGCATACTAGGTTGTATCTTAGATCGCATTCTGTCATTTTCTCAGTTTGCGTGCCCTGTGCACGTATTTCGAGGCATCTCATTTTTACAGCATAGTGCATACTAGGTTGTATCTTAGATCGCATTCTGTCATTTTCTCGTTTTGCGTGCCCATGTGCACGTATTTCGAGACACCTCATTTTCATAGCATTGTGCATGCTAGGTTGTATCTTAGTTGCATTTCATGCATGTCATGCATACTGCATCGTGTTCGGAATAGGGGTTAGCCCGGGCACGGGAAACGAGGTGCGTTTAGTACTCCGAGTGACGGAACGTGTCTCAATTCCCCAGTCACCGACACTCCGATCATCCATGATGGAGTTAGGCTTGTTGTGTTTTCATGTGCATTTCTATTCATATCTATTAGTAGTTGATCACATTCGACCCCTCTGCCATCAGCATCGATATGCGTGATTGGTGCACGAGAGTCGAGGCATGCATATATTTGTGAAAATACATTGCTATGCCCCTTTCCTACTCTCTGTTGCAGCAAAATGAAGAATCAGCAACTTTTCGGGACTTGGCACGCTTTTCAAGAATAATGCTAAACAGAGGCTAATTGGGGCATCCCGGTGGATTTCCGCGCAAGGCAGCCTAAATGTACATCATTCATCAGAAGCAAGGCAGTCCCTGGCTTGCA